GTGTGTGTGTGTGTGTGTGTGTGTGTGTGTGTGTGTGTGTGTGTGTGTGTGTGTGTGTGTGTGTTGTACTGTGGATGGTTTTAGGAGGCAGCTGTTGTCCATTGGTACTCAAAGATTTAATTATGCTGATGAAGATGTAAGGGGGGGGGTTACATGCAGCAAATTATTCAAATTAAACAACGCTGGCCAAACCGTTTTTACCTTTAAGTCGCATGTTCTAGTTCGTGTTAATTCTCTGTTAGCTGTGGTTAGCCTGCAGCCATCGTCCCTGTGACCTCTTCTAACCTCATGTCTGGTCTGGAGGATTATTGCTGCACACAGACTGTACAGCCTACACCATAAATCCATTTAAATAATGTATGCCCAGATCTGTTTAAGCTGCTAAACATATCAAGCACTCTGACTTCTAGCTCTGACTTACTCTATATTCTCATCTGACCTAAATGTAAGGAATGGGTTTACTTCTGTGTATAACCCACTTATTGTAGTTCCAGCTCCACATGTAACAAATCTCAGACGTGGGCCGAAAGCTCAGTAATTCCAGCACAACCTATGGGACAGAGATGATTTTCAGAAAAACACAATTGTACTGATAATGGATTACTCTTCTGATCCTGTAAATGTAAAAAAAAGACTTTCAGCGACAGCTTTTATGAACAAAATGACCAACAATATTTATTTTTCCTGTGTTTTTCATGTTAAATACTGCAATGCTTATTTTGAATACCAGTTAAGATGATGATTATTTTTTTGGGGTTGTTTGGTCTAATAAATTTCAACAGTGAAAACATCCAAACCATGATCTCCTGAAGCCCAAGTTGAAATATAAAAATAGCTTCTTTGTCTGACCAAAAAGCCAATAGCCTTGATTTTTGACCCAAATGTTTACATAAAAGAAAAGGGAACCAGAGAATTTTGATATTTTTTTATTTAAAAAAAGGCTTTAATTGAATGATTTATCACTTCCTGTTTTCTGTCAATGGATTAATTGACTAATTGTTTCATGTTAAAATTTTAGTTGAGGATAATTTGTTCTTTTTTTTGTGAGGAAAATTTGACATCCTATCAAACATTTTCCAAACCAGCAGTCTCGTGAATTTAAGGGATGAGTGTGGTCTGTTTTAAAAACATATCAATTTTAATGAAAAATGAGTTGGTTGTTGTTTTGTCTTGTGTCTCAGTTTGTTATCCTTCATTTTGTGTCCATTTACATTTTCTCGAAACGTCGCCAAAGTAATTATAACCTTAAGCACTGTCTCGAGGATTTTGATAAGTCCGTTTACATATATAGTCCTCGACTACCTTGTGCTGAGAATCGCTCGCTGTTTCATGTGTTCCATCAGTCGTTCTGACTCAGAACTTGTTTGTGCCGGCTCTAAAATAGAGAGAAAGTTCCCGTCTAGTGACTCAACTGTAACTGAGGCTGAGTTGTTTGTCTAGCACTTGACAGACAGGGAAGTCTGTCCTCTGTGGCTGTTGCAGTGCTCCTTTAATAGACTCTGACAGCCAACACACGCACACCTTAGATGCTGACAGCCTCTGCTCATTTCAAATCTATATATAATCCCCGGTATTTCTCTTCTGATCTCTCTGCCTCCCCTGTTACTACTTCCCTCCTCTACTCTGCTTCTATCGGAAAGTATTTTTCATGAGGCCACAGAAATATCCTGGCAGGCTGCGGCAGAGGACTCTCGGGATGCACTCCTGGCCCCCGATGAGGAGGAGCAGGAGGGAGGGATGGATTAACAGAGGAGAGGAAGAGTCACGGGGCAGAGGAGGGCCGAGAGGGTGGGAGAACTGGAAAGTGTCCCTACTTGCGAATGATTTATAGATTTTCCGGTCTGAGTTCAAACGCAATATCAGACCTCTGGAGAAAACAGGTCAGAAGATATAATTTAAACACATTATAAAACAGATTTAACCTTAATTGTTCCGTGTAAAGGGGCCCTTTGCTTTTTACGGACAGAGAAGAGACGCCCTGTCCTCAGTGTTGATGAAGTTTGTGACAGACAAAAAGCAAGAAAGAGCTTTGATGCATCCAAACCCTCCTCGATTGTTGCGTTCTTACTTTCCTTATTTTGTCTTAAAAGGAAACGCATATTTGACAGAAAAGTCCTTACGAGGTGCTTGATTGATGATCATGTGTCTCATAGTTGACCCTGTTCTGTTTTTGGTTTTTCTTTAGTGTTGTGACTTGCTTGCAGCCCAGCAGTGCCCTATCCCATATGGTGCATAGCTGCCACATATGGTGAATCATATACGTCTGCATGATTTATACATAGACATAAACACAGTATATAGGTCAGTGCATATCAGTATTTTGACCTAGTTCACAGATCAACACACTTTTTGCTTTATGAAATAAGACTGACACAGAAACAAATAGAAAAATATGAAAAGAAAACGAAATATTGTGCAAAAATAATTGAAAGTAAAGTAAAACCAGTTATATAGCCCGTACATTCACTTTATTTGCCTAATTTGAAGTGTACTCTATAGTGTAGGTAGTCCGATGTGATTATTCAAAATGTAGGTTTCAAATTTAAACCATTTTTTCAACTCAAAACATGTTGTCAGTGGCTGAGAGTATTTCGGGATTTTGGTTGCTTCTTGTGTTGTAAATGATGACCTTTTGACAGCTGATCTCATTTTGCAGTGTTCCTGCACACAGGGAAAATGTTGAAAACAGTCCATGTGCATATTTACATACCGTAGTACACACTGCGTGACAACGTTGCATAGTAATGTATATAGACAACATAACTATTCAATAGTTGACCGTTCTCAAGAGACGCCTCTATCATTGTGTGGTACATTTAAAACTCAAAGCATCCACTCGTATTTATTACGATTACATATATAAAGAAGTCCTCTCTCTCTTTTCTGCCGGTCATCACGTCACGCCCTTCTTTTGCTGCCTCTCTCACCCTTCACTTCCCGATTGTGTCGAGGCCTGGGCCCCTGCACTGGGCACAATGTGTAATACGATATACTAACTGACCTAGATAGCACCACTCACCACGTGTGCTATCAGTTCTCACCCACAGGCCCGGTACAGACGTTCTATCTGGCTTTCTAAGGAGCACTTACGTCATCTTCACGGGGGGGAAAAAAGTAATAATTTTGATTGTCAGCCAACACGCTGCTGCTGAAGCCGCTTTGTGTCAACACCTTGCCACTGTAGCTTCTTTGTGTTAGTCACAGACGATAACGTTACATGTTGAGATTACAGTTTGGCTTAAAGTACCAGGAACGAAAAATCAACACAAAACGAGTTGATGATTAAAGACCGAAGTTGAACAACAGTTATTCTTTATTTCCTTGAGGAATTTG